TATCCCTTCAGATCCAACTCATTTATTTAATTATTGAGTTATTTTCCAACTGATCTGCTGTTTAAGTAAGTGGAAGTAACGACATCTACTGCTGTAAGGGAGGCTGATATTTTTATTTACATATTTTATATGTTTCCAGTTTATCAACTGTTGAAATGCGTGTGAACATTATTCTTGTTTTGAATCTATGGTAATGCCTTTGAACCATACCATTGAATACCAGAAATGGACAAGGGATTAATACAGAAATTCTGGTAAATTCAAATCCTAAAAAACAAAACAATCCCCATATACAAATAGATACCGTAGGTTTGATTTTAACAGATTTAAAATCCACTCATTGCACAGTTAAAAATGGGATCTATGTATTTAATTCAGAAAAGCCCAGCATCACAATATTAAGAATAATTTGCACATTAGATATAGTAAATTCCTGAAGCATTCAAAATAGTCAAACAAGTTCTGACACCAAGCCAGGTGATATTAGATAAATACATAACACATTATCAAAGAGGTAGGCTTAAAGGAGTGGCAGAAGGGAGTAGAGTTGTTTAGGGCTCAGACAACTGAAGATGTAGCTGCCAATGAAGAAGCAATTAAGAGTGGGGATAACAATTTATATTTATACATTACCTTTATTTGGTAAAATGTTCTAGGCCTCTTCACTGGGAAGGTCATTGCTGTGATATCACTTTAAGAGGGGACAAGCTAATGAGCAAATGACTAGGATGTAGAACATGTGACTAGTAGCCATTCTCAAATTAAACTTGTAGCATTTGGCTACAGTTAAGGACTGTTGTGGGGCTTTTCTGCAACAAGAGTTGCTGAATTTCTGTAAAATTTGCCAGCTGAGCACTCTCATGACAGATCTTAAACTGAAAGGAGCCTACACCTAATTACCATTCATGATGTGACATTGGTAAATCTTTGTAAGTAAACACAAATTCACAATAGTTTTTAAATAAAATGATGATACCAGGATCGAGAAGGAGATATTAAAATAGATGTCCAAACCTTGACAAAAGAGGTTTTAAGGGAAATAGAGAGCTGGTCAAGTTTAGATTTGGAAAGGGCCTAGGCAGATGAAAGCACACCTATCAATGGATGAGTAGTTAAAATTAGGGGTTTACATAACATCAAAATTGAGTATCAGAAGGGCTGAAGGTAGTTATATTGATAGGGAGTGGCATGGCCATGAAGGGATTTGAAAACAAGAATTAAAATTCTAGAATTGAGGCACTGCCTGACCTGAAGTTAAGATCAGTTAGTGAGCACTGGGCCGGTGGCTGAAAGGGATTTGGTGGGAGTTAGTGTCCCTGCTGTTGAGTTTGGGAGATGTAAGACCTGCTATGTGATCACTGTTACCATAGGACAATTCCAAAGGCATAAGTGAGAGCTCCAGCAACAAGTGAGTTGTGACAACAATAGAAGTATGTGCTGTTACTGAGAGGGTGAAGGAAATATCTGTTCACCCAGTGCTGTGTTTAGGGATAAACATTATGACAGAACAGTTCAAGTGTGGAAAAACCGAAAGGAGTAGTGATGAGGAGTGGTTGGGTAGAATAGACGTACAAGTGGTAGCCAAGGAGAGCATGTACACGATAAATAGAAGATACCAAGGATAGATCCTCAGGAGTCTCTGGGGTAACAAATATTAAAAACCTTTTCAGAACCAGCCAGGAAAATTGATGCTTGGGATAACTTTATTGACAACTTGACCAACAGATAAACATAAGAGTTGCTGAGTTGTCAAAATCAAAATTATGGATATGCAACTATTAGATTGCTAAATGTATTAACTGGCTAGGAAGCTCTGGCTCCCAAGAAAATGAATAATATTTGAATTTTATAGTAGTTCATATCTGTCTATCCAAACAGACACGTTGGAACAGATTTGTTTGGCTGAGTTAGTCTCTGGTTACTTTGACATTACAATCTTTACTCAAAGAAAGCTTTGTCTCCATGAGACTTAAAATATACAATGTCATATTTTCTGGCCCCTAGTGTCCTAAAAAACAGTAATCATCAACATAGTTGGGTGGTCATTTCAAAACAAGGAACTGAAAAACCACCCATGTAAAACCAGCAAACAAAATTGTTTCAGAAATTGAAATGGTAAAGTTAATAGAGACTCAGGTATAAGCACAGTATGGGGATGAAGTATCAGTGGTACTGAAGAGTGAATACCTGCAGATTAGCTCTGTCTGGAACAGAAGAAGATGACTGAAGGAAGATGATGAAGGCCATATATAATGGCCTTTCGCAGTTATTCAAACAGAAAACAAAGCACACAGGAAGAAATCAAATAGCTGACACAACAAAAAAGTTTGATCCAAAGGAGTAAGTCTCTCCATCTCCATACATTTAGCTTGTCAGCAACTGATAACACTGTAAACATAAACTTGCTAAGCTGTGTAGCAACTTCAAATTTTGGACATAATCCTGCCATATAGCAAGCAAATGGAATGACTCCCGATCTCTTAAAGGTCTCAAGTAAGTCAGCTTCCCGCATTTATTTTAAATGTTTACGATTGTACATAACAGTCCAGAAATGATGGTGAGGCTACCAGAAATCACCTTTTTTGAAGGTTAGATTGAGCAGTGACTATCGGCATTTTTCACACGTCCATTTCAATACTGAAATCAGGAAGTTGCTGTCGGAATAGCCCTGCTGCTCCACAAGCTCTGTTGCGCTGCTATCACTTGCTAAGAGACCCAGCCTTAAAACCTATGATGCACATGAAATTGTGAAAACATTTTTATTCTTTCCTACAATGTGGCTGTTGTAAGAAAGGCCAGAATTTATTCCATTTGGGAATGTATTGATTTTAAACTACTGCAGCCGTTGCAGCAAAAGTAGACCCAAGGTACTGATAGGTCGGGAGTTCAAACATTTCAGTCTAGTGAACAGGGTTCCAACTCAGGATGATGATTTTTTAGAGGGGAACTTGGAAGTGGTGGTGTATTTATGTTCCAGATGTTCTTGTTCTTCCAGACGTCGTGGGTTTACATAGAAACATGGAAGATAGGAGTAGAAGTAGGGCCATTCAGCCCTTTGAACCTGCTCCTCCATTCAATATGATCATGGCTGATTATCCAACTCAATAGCCTATCCTGCTTTTCCCCCCATAGCCTTTGACCCCCTTTAGCCCCACATACTATATACAATTTCTTCTTGTGAGTTGCAAAATTGCATCTAGTCAATGGTTTACAAGACTATCACTGTGTGCCTGCGATGGAGGAGTAAATATTTAAAATGGTGCATGGTTTGCCAATTGAGTGGGCAGGTTAGTCCTTGGATATTGTGGAGAATTTTGACTGTTGTTACATCTACACTCATCCAGGCAAGAATTTCATCATACTCCTGATTTACAACAGTGACTTTTTGTAGTTAAGAGAGGAGTCACTTGTTGCAGAATACTCTTGCAGTCAGAGTCTTTATGTGGCTGGTTCAGTTAAGTTTCTGGTAGTCTTGATAGTGGGGAATTGAACAATTTAAGTGTCAAATGCTAAAATTCATTTAGATAAAAAATATATACTAAAAAGTTAATATACTAAAAAAATCAGTTTAGATGCAGGCAAATGTCCAAATCAGCATGATTAAAGTCACAGTAGAAGCAATAATTCCCCAGAATATTCCTGTTAAAATGGCTACATCTTGCATACTTTATGCTTACTGACTAATGTCATTGTTCATGCATTGCACAGCCAAAACGTAATTCCTTTATTTCCAAAAGTTACTTGCAATAAGGATTTGGATTTCTCCTTTATTTTCTTTGAATTGTTCTTAAGTTTCTTTATCCTTGTGTGTAGAGTTACTGAAAACCATAAGCCTTCTTGCAAAAAAACAACAGCTACATAAGTTACTAATTTATATTTTGTAGTAGAGTGGTTTCTGTTAACGCAATTCCTTTTAAGTGCAGATCCTGTCAACTTCTCTTTCAGAAGATCTTGAAGAGGTCTCTTACAGTGGTTCAAAGAATCTTTTTATTCTTTTTAATTCAGACCTCAAAGACAAATGCCTTTTGTTTTGTTGATTGCTCTACTTGCTTCTATCTATAGTCTGGCTGAATCTATTCTGGCATTTAGAATAATCATTGTTACATGGCAATTGTTTCTTATCTTGTAAGTTTTATGGAGAATTTAATGCTTTTCTATATTACTTCTACCACAAACACTTTGCAGACAATGGTTTCCAGGGAATTGCTGTTTAATAACTTTATAAGATCTTCAAATTGTATTGACTACTAAAGAAACCTCATGAAGAAAGATGCCGCAACAGTTTGCCAGCTGAAAAAATTATAAAATAGGCCTGTTATCAGTGGCAAGGACAAGGCTAAAGCACAGACATTCCTGATGAGGTTGGATCTTGTGACCCATATGTAAACCAACTACCTTTTTAAAAGGTTAAAATTAATAGGAAAAAAGATCATTTCAGACAGGGAGGAGTTCCTTGTAATGATTCTTCCTGCCTTCCTCACAACGAGGAAGGCTGAAGGGGAAAGATTCCTTAACACATTGAATAGCTCAAGAAGAAAGAGAACAAATGAGTGGAAGGCTTTGAACAGACTGAATAAGAGACTGCAACCCCCCAGCTGGAAAAATTGGCTTCATCCATCCATTCATTTAATGAGAGTGCTAAGTTATACTCGCCTACCACAGGTCATATACTTATCTTACCAATTCAGCTCATGCAGCATACTCAACCTGTTGTTTCCTAATAAATTACTTTAATGTAGTTTATTGAATCATTTTTAGCTTGACTCCCCTTTTGTGGATAATCTGTGACTCCTGAATCTAAACAGAATTAAATTGAAGTGCAGAGACTATGACTGCCACAGAAAAGATAAAAACACAAAAGAAACACTAATTACTCTTATCTTTAGTGACAAAGTATACAGTTGTATACCACACTGTAATATCACATAGTAACCTCTTGTATTACACATTTCACTTCAGGACTGTATTTTTTGACAAAAGATGGAAGGTATAATGCTTACATTTAAATGAAGTTTGTTTGCCCACTCTCCAATGACTGAATATGCACGCGTAGCATTGTCCTTAACTTGGTACTGATAAATGTCATAATGTCCAGGAGCATCACCATTTTCATTGAAGGTCACAGGGATCCCAGCACTTCCTGTAGACAGTGAGATAATAATTTGTTACTTTTCTTTTTTAAAACTGTCAAAACTACTTCACACACTAAACCCGAAAAGTTTTTCATGAAAATTTCCAATTGAGTGCTCCACTTCCTAATTCTGAAATTCAAGTAAATGATTCTAAACATTAACAAAAATCTCAGAGAAAACATTAGTGTGTAGTATACAGAAAGTGGTTCAGTCAGCTTCCCAACTTAAAAGGATCCTCAATGTGCCATCAGGAACATCAACCTCCTGGTTTCAGAAACTTTTTAATGGTGGCTGCTTGAGTGTTTTGAGCCTTAAAGCCATACAAAACTTAGATTGTTTGCTTTACATTCTATGGAGCAGATGATGGCTGTTCTGTTTGTTGCTGTGCAGTCCTAATCCATAAACTTTCCTAAGGGCATTGCCACATATTCTTCCAAGTGAAATCTTACATTTTCTCTACTAAGTCCGAGTTATGTTGAATTTTCTGGAGGTTTCATTATTACAAGGCCTAGCGAGTTCTCTCAACCTATCTGACCACACATTAAATTTCTACTCCATTTTACCATATGCCTTTCTCGCAGCAACACACGCAGCAGATATCCTGGAATTCACTGGCACACTTTGCACATGCACCATTTTTATAAGCCCATGGGCACCCAGCTGAGCACTGTTAGTCCAGAGATGCCCTGCACCAGTCCTGACACAGTAGACAGGAATAAATATCCTGTCTAACAGGGTGGTGCCAACATATGACCTCCACAGCCCCCAGGACTGGCACAGGAGGCCGCGACAACAAACTATGCCAGCCTGGTCTGTCATTGGCACACAGCTTTGAAGAGTTTCAGCTGAAATGCAGAGGAATGCACTGCAATGTAGGAAGAAGATCAATGTCCACTCCAACAGTGTAAGTGCCACCATCTTCTCACTGATATCTCACACTCAATCTATTTCTGCTACTACACTCACCTCCCACCAAGGTTCATGCTCTCCCACTCTCACTATTGCCTACAACATATTCCCTCACTCACTGTCACCCACCTCAATTCCTGAAACCGCTAACCCTGTATCCCCTCTGTGCTGCCTACTCCCTCATTCGGGATACCTCTCGACCTGCACCAACAGCAATAACTCCCATTTTCGTCTCCCATAATACCTGCCTCTCTCTCACTCCATGAGGAAAATAGCCCACAAAAGGGCAGAAGCAGTCAAGGCGGATGGTAGGCTGCCCATATTCAAACTTCATCCCTTATGAGGAAAAGATCCTGAGTCTGACCACCCTGAACTGGGTCTGGACTGGCATCAGAGGTTGCCCCTGATTTACTGTGCCAGGAATCCCTTAGCAAAAGCTATTCCCCTTGATTTGACTGAAACCTGCTGATAATGATGAACAGCTTCTTGGCTTTGTGTTTGTGCTAAATGGTAAGACAAAGCAGCAGTAATATTAACCTAGAGGGCAAAGTGCAAAAAAAGCAAAGCAAGACAATGCATGATAGGGATACTGTAAGCATCCAGGTAGGCTCAGAGGGAATAAGTACTCAGAGGGTAAGTGAAGAGAAGGGCCCAGAGATGCAGTTTGGTCAAATCCATGAGCTGGGTGAGTGTATCTGAGCACTGTGTCCTTGCAATACAATGATATTTGTAGCAAATGTAATAATGCCCTTTTGCCATACATAACTTGTAAGTTCCATCTAGTGAATAGCTTGAACAATATTGCAACATGTTACACTGCAACATGTGCCCATTTTTTAAATTTCTGATAACATATATACATTTAAAACAAATTTTTAACCAGGCAGAAGGGATACAGCTATTGTGTAGTGAAAATCATAGTTTGAGCAACAGTGCACTTGATAAGCACTAAAGAACAGCAAGCCTGTTTTAGACCAATTTTATTTTAGTTTCATCAAGTTGGTGGATTAGCTCTTCAAGAAACATTGAGCTGATTTTTTGCCATCAAAACAATTGTGCCTAATGTAGCAGATTCATCTGTGTGGAATCCACTAGTGCGTGCATAATGTTTGCTTTGGCAGTGGTGAAAGGGATTTGATAAAATCTGGCCATCTACCCATCGAGACAGATTTGAAATAACTGAGTATTGAGGTGTGTTGGATGTACAATCAGCTGTTAGGCCCTTTAGTCTTTTCCACTCACCACCCACCAATGCCCCCTCATAGCTCCAGAATAGATCCATGACCCCCATGCTGTCTTACACTTCCGATGATATTCGCATGTCCACTCATATGACCAATGCGATGTCTAAACCATGTTTTACTTCCCAGGCTACCTCCTTAGTCACTTACCCAGAATCTATTATGGATAGATTTCAGAAGCCTGAAGGCCTTGAGTCAGTGAACTTTTTGGAATGCTTACGTGAATGCAGGTTATTTCTTTACAATCTTACTTATTCTTATCTTTCAGTCATGAGTCATGCAAGGATCTTAGTGCACGAGTCCCTACAATTCTGTAGAATCTCATTCTTCATATGTGAATCTGGCAGTAATTAGGCAAGCCATGGGTAGAGAGAGGCTTGGCAAGATTGGGCAGTCATATCCTCACAAGACGTCCATTAGGTAGACATCAAAAACATGAATATGTGACTGATTCACTTCTCCCTTCTTAAAATTAGATGGAATCAAAGGCAATGTTAGTGCACTTTGGTAACCCTGGACAGACTGGAATTAGAGGTTGTAATTTTCCACTGGGATCATTTTCATGAACCTGCAACATAATATGTTGTTAACAGCAAATTCATAAAAGATTGTTCCTTAGCACAGCTGACTTAGTTAACGCTGTAGCTATGCCACCTAATGTGCCAAAAATTAATTAATATTCTTAATGGACATTAATTATATGAAAGCAGCAAAAAAAACACCCTCTATATTACTAATAAGAGAGTGAGCACATCAAAGAACATTAATGTGTTGCATTAGTTTTATTTTAACAACAAGCTGAAGCTCCTGATTATGTATTAAAACAAGCAGCACCAATGGAGGAAGCTATTTCACCTTAACCACATACAGTATCCACTCCATTCAAATAAAAAGGAAGACGTATTTATACATACACTCCCCATATCCACAGATTCACTTTCTGCAGATCTGTGTACTCGTGAGATATTCCCCAGACCCCATTCCTCATTGTGCAGTGGATAGAAGACTTACATGATAGTGGTATTTATATTTCTAACTGTCTGCGGGAATTCTGTTCCCTTATCTCTCGTCAGACAACAAGGATTTGGTATATAGTGACTACTAAAGAATTTTACTGAACATGAAGTTATTTTAAAGTGTAGTCATTGTAATACAGCAAGCAAGTGCAGCTAAGTTGCAAACAGCATGATCCAATAAACAATAAAATGGCCATGTCCAGCTAATCTATTTTATTATGATCAAGAAATAGATATTGATCAAGCACGGAAACCCCTTCACCCCGCTCTTCTTTGGAATCATATTGGAGGACCTTTTATTTCTTAGTAATTGGTTTAATATCTTATTAAGAAGGAGAGACCTTCAGGGTTTCAGTACTGTCTCGCTACTACACTGGGATACCGCATCATTTTTTTGTGCACAGTCCTGTCATGCAACTTTGACCTACTGCCTTTTGACTCAGAAGTAAGCGTGCTCCAATTTGAACCATGGCTGACACCATAAGCATGTTAACACTGAAATCATTCAGGAAACCATTTAGAATTCACAGGTATGTGATACATGCACCTCTGGTATTGTTGCATTTAGCAATTATTCCAACTTGTTGCAACTAATGAAAATTTCACATTAAATGTATGTGTAAGTTGAAAATCTATGTATAAAGTTGAATTAATGAATATGAGCTAATAAGCTACCTGTGTGTTTTTCTGGTTATTAAAGTTTGTGTACAAATATTTCAAATAAATGAAGTTAGTTTAGCACTATACAATCTCCCCACAAAATCTTTGACTTTATAAATGACTAACAATATGGTTGGATTGAAAATCTGCTAGGTGAGGACAAAACATTAGGGTGCAGTTTGTTGCTATACTGGATCCTTGACTTTACTATACTTTACTGGATCCTTAATTTCAGAATGCTCTTTACAGGGGGCATCATTTTGCTGGAAAATCTTTAATTTCCAAAAATTTTATCGAAAAAATAATCACATTCCTGAAAGATATAATCTTCTTCTTTTGAAATAAAAATGAGATAGAGTCACTCATGATCCTTCCATCCTTACACATACTGTTTTAGGTAACAATCTGTTTCAATTATAGACAGTAAAGCAGAATGTTTTTTTTTGTATTGCTTCTTCTGAAACAGCTGAACTAACTGTATGAAGAGTCTACTATTAAATCCTGGTGGTTGTGGTATCAAGGATGTTTGATGATCAGATTTTGAAACTTAATCTGCTGTTGGTGGACAATTAAACAATTATTCCAAACCTGTGAAAGCAGTTGTATCTTCTGACCTCTAATTCACGAACAGTTACCATGCACAATGCAATAAATCTTGAGTGGTGTAAATTTTCTTTTAGTTCAGTGAACATTCTTCTGAAACCTATGAACTTTGTTGTTGAGTAAAATTAGTTTGATTACTGATATTTAACTTCTAATTTTGTGTAGGTTTCTCAAAAAAAACTGTAGAATTTTAACAGCAATAACATACTTTTCTGCTCACAAGTGGGTAACATATATGATGATGTAAACCGGCTCTACTTGGCATCGCTGTCTGTATTTTAAGATTAGACTCAGGATTTGCTTTATTTTGAACAGTGTACTTCTTGTGCCATGGATTTCTTTGTCAGAAGCTTGTACTTTCATTTTCAGATAATACAATAACTCTTGCATTATCAAGTTTGAAATTTGTTAGATGATTGTTAACCTGTATGATCTGTCATATCTGCTTCAGATGAGCTACCAGTTACTTGTAAGAAATATTGTGTTGCATCTTCTACAGTTGACATGTCATCATAAAAAAGATATTTTTTCCAAGAAAGATATATTTCTAATACCTTGGACTATACATATGAAAAGTAC